CGACGGGGCGTGCTCGGGGCGCTGCTGGAGCCCTCCAGGCGGTGGGGCCTGGTGCTGGCAGAAGCGCTTTTCCTTCTTGGAGGCCATTCGGCTCAGGCGCTCCCTGGAAATCGCTGAGGACAAATCCGCTGTAATTCCCGGGCGTTTCCCCTGTGCTGGGGGTTCTGCCTGGCGGGGGTGGGAGGTCCGAGGGCTCTGGCTGCGCTCCCGGGGAAGGTGTCGGCAGGAGCCGTGCCCCTGAGCGGGGGCTCCGCCGCGCTGAGCCTGCTCTGAACCGCAGAATCTCGATTGTTCCCAAATCTCAGACTTCCTTCTTCAAAAATTACCCCCGGTGTGTATGGCTTCTTAGAGAGCTCAAGACCAGTTTATGCTAAACTCTCAGAACCAGGGGTTCAGAAACGTGGGCACACAAGTGAGCTGTTCTGGTCATTTTAGCCGAGAAGTTTTGTATTTTTGACATTTTTTTCAACATCGCTGAATTCAGCAGTTTCCATAGTTTCTGTCTGTTCTAAATTAGAAAAATCTCTGAAGCTGCTGAAAATGAGCAGAGAGGGGTTTTTTTGTTTATGAGGAGAGGTTTATCCGGATGTGCCCCACCGTGCTCCAGAAATGGAGGTATCATTTGCATGTTCTTGCATAAAGTTGCATTATTGCTAAGTATCCCAAACTATGTGAAGGAATTTGTGGAACAAGGATGACATTAAAATATTAGTGAAATTACTCGTTTAAAACGAATAGGAAAGAATGTCTTGCTCCTTTAAAATCCACTGTTCTGAAGTTAAATTCCTTCTTGGGCGATCATACAGTGAGGCAGGAAATACTGTGTTAGATAAGCAATAATATGTGTGTTATGCCCTTTAAGATAAAAAAAATGGGAGAAAGCCTCCCCACTACAGAATCCATGATCTAAGGACCTGGCAGGGATTTGAGTTTCTGCTTACCCAACACGCTGTAGTAGCCTCGGCAAGAAGAGGTAGCGTTAACACACTGGTTTATTAAATAAACAGCAAAGAAGCATATGGGAATGGTTTACTGCTCAGTTTAATAACACAAAGTGGGAACTGTTGAATTTTATCTTTCAGCCCTTCGTTGACCTAAGTTGCCATCCTTAATTGTTGTAACTTCTAAATATCTTCCAGTCTACCCTTCCATCTAAACCAGCTCCTTAATGCAGTGTACAGGACTCTCTCCTCAGCTTCCAAATTCTTGTGAAAAGCCACTTGTCTGAGACGCCTACACTTTGCGCCCTACACACACTTGGTGCAGTTGCCTCTGACAGTCATGTTGCGTGTCAAAGAGTAGGTATTAGGAGTTACGTTCCCGTAGGTCTGCCATTTTGTAGAGGCACTTAGAACAGAAACCAGTTAAAAGCAGCAATAAAAAAGATGGAAGTTACTCGCTAACTTTTTTCTTTTCAAATTCTGATACAAGATCAGTTTATGAACTTTTACTTTGCTATATACTGCTTATCTCATTTTAGTCTGCAATACAGCCAATGTTTTAAACCAGAAAGAATAAGACAAGATGTACTTTAATTTTAAAAAGAGACAGTTTTAAAATAGGGGGTGGTCCTTTACCTGTTCAGTTGCAGCAAAGGTAGACTAAAGTGTCTTACGGAGAAATTACTGTTGCCTGTCTTTGGACATGAGTTACTCCGAGTTACTGTTTTTCTTGATAGTATCATAGAATGGATTGCAAGTGACCTCAAAGACCATCTAGTTCCACCCCCCCTGCCATGACAGGGACACCTCCCACTAGACCACGTTGCTCAAGGCTCCATCCAACCTGGACTTGAACACTTCCAGGGATGGAGCATCCACAGCTTCCTCAGGCAACCTGTTCCAGTGCCTCACCACCCTCAGGGTGAAGGACTTGTTCCTTGTATCTAGTCTAAACCTGCTCTCTCCCAGCTCCCAACCATTACCCCTGGTCCTGTCACTGCAGGCCCTTGTAAAAAGTCCCTCCCCAGCCTTCCTGTAGGCCCCCTTCAGGTACTGGAAGGCCACTCTAAGGTCTCCCTGGAGCCTTCTGTTTTCCAGGCTGAGCAAGCCCAACTCTCTCAGCCTGTCCTCGTAGGAAAGGTGGTCCAACTCTCTGACCATCTTGGTAGCCCTCCTCTGGACTTGCTCCAGCAACTCCATGTCTGCGTTGTGTTGGGGGCTCCATAGTAAATGAAATATTTTAAATAGCATAATTTTATTTTTTTTCAAGAGATAGAAATGATAAATGATCAAAGCATGTAACTTGTGATCACATAGACCTGCTTCTAGCCCCAATAGAGATTTCTTCTGTAGTGTTGGGAAGTCACTTACGTCTTTTACACCTTACTTTCCTCAAATACATAGACGTTACAAGCTTTGCTGTGATTTAGTACTCTCTGTATGCGTTACATACTTTAAGATTGGTGTTTCATTATCTGATATAAAGACAAACTTAAGAGCTAACAGACAGGAAAGCTATTGCCATGATAAATTTTTCTCCCTTTGGATTTATAGTCCACTACTCTTATTTACGAAACCAGTTTGCAGTTTCATTTGAGCTATGGGTTAACTGTTTTTATCAGCATACACAGATCTTTACTTCAACAGGGGAGATACTTTTGTTCTGCCGTCTGCCGATTCGTACATGCTTATGTGATGCAGGATTGTCTGCCAAAGTTTTAAGAGTTTCTTGGAACTCCAGTCATGCAACAGTGTTACTTAACAGTGGGCTGGAAAGCAAACACTTCCTCTCTTGGGAATTCCAGGAAAAAGGAGGAAAAGAAGAAGGATTATTTTTATATATATATATATATATACACGCGCACTAGAGCAGTTTGCCCCCTTTTTTTTTTCTGAGCAGAAGCAAAGGCACTTGTGTTCTTTTCAAAAAATTTATTGCCATGCTCAGTCATGTTTTGTCTGTTCCTAAAATGCGAAAAGCTCAGCTCTTGAGTAATAGTTTTCTTGAGCATTTATGAGAAATTTGTCTTTCAACTATGTCATTTTTTACTAGATGAGCAGTAACTGCCTCAGAGAAGGTCACAAAAGAGTTTCCAGTCTAATCTTCTGTTTTCGCTAACAATGTTCTTATCCCTTAACCTCTAAGACTGAAATTTTCCATGTTTGATCTTTAGAAGCTTGTTTTAAAGAGTGGTCAGTCATGCATGAGAATGGAAGAAATACAGTATCATTAAATGTGACTTTTCTGACAAGCACAGAAACTTGGATTATGTGCTAACTGCCTTGGAGCTGAATCTGACATACTGAAGTAAAGATTGATCATAAGTGAAGTGCTTCTAAATTTATTAAAAAAAAAAAAATAGGATTCTGTTGCTACATTTCACAATAGCTTGATTTACATGAGTATATTTATCAATGAAAGCTGTGGTGTTCTTTATAAAAAAGGTGTTTTTTCTGTCCCTTACTCAACTGAGAAAAGAGTGTCTTTTGCCGACCTTATGCTATTTGAATATTTGACAACAAATATTCAGCAGCTGTGCTTGAAAATCTTCCCAGTTTTATAGGAGTTATTTGCAGGAATGTGGATTTGGTAGCATGCCTTTGAGGCTGCATGTCCTTACATGTAGATAGTGCCCACATGCATACTTCCAAAAGTTCATTACATTTTTCCTAAGCTAATCACTTAACATGTTTATACTGCAGCAGAGTTGCTGATCCCTTGCCAGTTCCTTTTGTATTGTGTGCTGGTGAAACTCAAATCTGTTGGAAGTGTCAAAAGTTTTTCTACCGCTGTAGTTGGAGAAGAGGGTGTTGAACCACCATCAACAAATACGTTTCAACTGTCCCTTCTACTTCAAACTCTATCAAAGCTTCTGCAGAAAGCTCAACTCCACCCTCCTGCTAAAGCAGATCTTCTGAGAAATTCTCTCTTCTTTACTAAGTCACACAGAATCATGAGGCTTTGAAATCAAAAACAACGTGCCACCTGGGAGCTGTGCAGATGTAGGCAGAGCCACTGTAGCACGCAGGTAGTAAGAACACTGCGTCCGGCCTTGGAGATTAGAACATACCAAGCACGTGAGAGGAAGGGACAAAAGAGTTGTGTATTAACAGACAAATGTGCTGCTGAACAAGTTTTATCCCTCTCTCTACTGAATGCAGAGTCATGGTAGTTCCATATTAGTTAACATGACTTTACCTACAAGTTTTCCAAAATTTTAAATGTTTCACACATGTTTCTAGTGACATGAAAGCTGGTAGCCGTATTTAATTCAGAATATGATCTTCCGCTATGTCACTACATTGCATCAGCAAACAAATCTTGTGGAAGTAAGTTTTTTGAAAATCTTAAATTATTTCATCTGGTTTTAGTTTACTTATGCAGCTTTGCTATGGTTAAAGAATTCTAATATGTAAAAGCTGCATAACTTTCCTTCCCCGAAATTGTGCTGGTTGTGTCATAATTAGGTATGTGTTTTACATCTTCTTTCTAATGACTTACTGTTTAATCCTTCTACATTCTGTTGAAGCAAGGCTTAGAGGTCTTTACTAAGAACTTTTTCAAGAGGATGATACTCTTATCTAGGGTACTGGTGCTAGGACTTGGGGGAAACTTTCTAGTCAATAGATCAGGGGCTTCACTCTGAAATTCTTTCAGTCATCTGAGTGGAGTCATAGGGCTTTGGTGACGTGTTGATTGTCAAGGATTTTGGTGTAGTGCTTACCCCTTTAATGTCTCACATACTAGCAGCTTTGCTTTTCTAGTAGCTAAAAGAGTAGGTGCACTGCCAATGTAAATTAGTATCCTCCATAATTAAAACTTTGCAGAAAAGTCTGATAGCTCATTTGTGTTATCCTTATTCTTCTGCACTTCTTGTTGTTCCATGCGTGAGCTTTAGGGGGATCAAGCACTGCAGGGGATCTGAATCCCAGCATCTAGCAGAGTGGTAGGAAGAACAACGCCCTTACCCTAACTGGGACACTGATGTAAGGTTATAATAATGTTTTCTGTTGGCAGAATTTCAGCGCAGCTTGTCCTACTGCACCTGGCTACTGCCAATGATGGCAAGACTCCCAAGTACTGCACTGCATACCCTGTGGATCCTTTTCTTTTCATATACAACAAATGAAGGTACGTTTGTCAGTGTTTTAAATTACTATACCGAAGTTTTTGTTTGCAGCATTTGCCTGTGACTAGTAGGCAGCGCTGTGACCATGAATTAACTAATATAAAATGTGTCACTTCAAATGCCAGAAATATCTGTGTACTAGAATGAATAAATTTTCTTTTTATTCTTTTTATTTGACCTTTTCCGTAGGGGCAAGAAAGAAATAGTAATTTGCAGGAAAGAGAAACTGAGGTTTGGAAAGTCATCTCCCTGCTCCCCCATTGTCTGGTCTCTATCAGACACCTTGCTGCAAACTGGGTGCTCACAGTGACCCAGGGACATCTCTGTAGAAATCCCTTAGGAGCAGAAAGCATAGTCTCTCGTTTGCTCGTTTTCATAACTGCCACCGTTGACCATACGGGACCTTGAGGGAGCTGTGCTCCTGAGATAGAGCCTATAGATCTGCTGTTAAAGGGCATCTGTCAGTTTGCGTTCTCCAAAGCGTGCAGAATTGCTAACTTGGAAAAGTCAGTTGACAGGATTTGAACAAATTTTGTAGGCACTTGCTGTCAGACATCACGTGCTCTGCCTTGTGCCTGTCCAGGGGCAGATGGCAGACATGGGATGTCCTGCGTGTTCTTCACCACGCTGTTCTTTCGGTCTGGCAGGACATGTAGCTGCCTTAAGTCTTAATGCTGCTTGTTAGCTGATGGTTATTTTTTTGAAGTTCAGCTGGCAGGGCCTGGATATTAAAATGTTTTTTTTTCTTTGTATCTTTTATGATATTTGATTTTAAAGACAAGTTAGATATATAAAATCATGTTTTCTGACATGCGTTTTTATTAGCTGGAAAATGAATCTTACGTTCTGCTGTAGTTTTTAAGTAGTTCCAGAGTAGTCTACAGGTTGGGGGGGGGTGGTTGTTTGGGTTTTTTGTTGTTGGTTTTTGGTGTTTTTTAAAAAAAAAAAAAGGCAAAGCAAAATAATAAAAATAACTTTTAAAATAGTCTATCTCTAAAAAAGAAGGTTTATTGGCTACTTTATATACTATGAAATAGTAGAATATGAATTAGAAGGATCAAGGTTTGTGAGAGTGCATTGGCTGGGTCATCTGATCTAGCTAATCCCATGTTCTGTAAATGATCTTTATCAAGGTTTAGTTTTACAGATTTTTTTTTTTTTTTTTCCCTAGTTAACTACCTGTTTCAAGTTTCTTCAGCATGGTATTCTAGTTGAGGATTAAAAAAAGAAATCCAGTATTTCAGTTCCGTTTTTTAACTACACGAACTGAAAACAAACTCTGTACTCTATGTGGTTTCAAAAGGAAATTCTCAAATATCTGAGATTTAAAAAAATACAGTGTAGCAGAGATGGAAAGGGAGAAGGTCACAGGAAGAGAGTACAGAAGATAATTTAGAGTTCTGGAAAGACATGAGGACACTGAAAGGCAAGATAAAGTAAAGCTGCTAATCATCATGGCTTAACACAGCAGGAAGAGCTTTGTTTAGATGAAATGTTGTTAAAAGTGTGAGATTGTTAACACTGAAAAATAATGACATTTGTCTTTAAAGAGCTTAAATTGTTAGTACTCCTTTTAAAAGTGCATCTTAAAGTGGGGGAAAAAAAAGAAACTAACAATGAAAGTACAAATGGCAGCCAAATATAAACAGCAGCAACAGGATGAATAGCTCTTTTAAAATAAATGAGCAGTCTGACTGTTACACTATTGCAGAAGCTTAATCTTTAACTT